ATGAAAAAACACCAGATTATTCGAAAGGCGCTAAAATTTTAAAATAGGCACAAAACACACCATAAAAGCGCTAGATCTAGCGCCCAAAGCGCTAAAATGGCAGCACTGAATGGACTCAGACGAACATCCATATTCTTAGTCGCGTCCTCAAACGTTCCTCGACTACAACTCATTCGAGGGCTCCCTAAGGAGTTCCTCCAAATAACCTCGAAAATGACATTCTAGTAGGTATCTTGAACAAACTTGAGAATTCCTCCACTGAGAGTACAAACAAAGGTATAAAGCATAAAAGCATAGACATATTATATGTGTAAAGTAAAATATCACACAACAAACATAGGTAAATACCTACCTGAAATAATCCTGTCACGTAAAACTTCAAAGCCACCAGTAATTGTATTAAAGGCGGTACAGTAGTCCTCTGTCAATACAATTTAGTGTAATGCTTAGCATAGGAAATATTACTTGTATGAATGTATCTCTCTAAACCGAAATCTTCTTTTTAACGAATCATTATCGTAATCCTCAAAAGGATTTGCGGCGTCACGTAAATACCGTCACGCCGTATCATATGGTTCATCATCGTATACGTAATCCATAAAATCCACCAATTCGTCAATAATCTCAAAATTCAAAATCTCAAAAAACAACTTGAAATCACCTTAAACACCACTCGAGGAAGGCTTAAGGTACGTCGAGAGCTACCTTGAGTTTGACTGTTTATTCCTCGACTCAACCTCCATTCGAGTGAGGAATATCTCAAGTGAAGGATATTTTTGTTGTCTAAGCATACGAATTTCCTCGAATGAGGTTGAGTCGTGTGGAAAAAATCTCGAGGAAACGACTAAGAATATGGGTGTTAGTGCATCAAGGTCGTTTTGCGATAGTGTAATTTAGGCGATTCTCACACTGGCTACAAACTACGTTGCGTGCTGTGCTGATTTCGCTGCATATAAGTTTTTTGATCTCATTCCACAACTAGTGATCCGCAAAATATTGTAAGTATCGATACTTACTCGATACCAAGTATCGTATTAAAAGTATCGATACCGGTATAAGTATCGTATCAAAAGTATCGATACTACTTGGTATCGAGTACATTTTAACGTATTGAATGAAACATGACAAATGATTAGTTAAAAGTGGTTTATTACAAATGAACAGAAAAAACAACAGAAATAATTAAAACCCCCAGTCTGTTCTGAACAATCTGAAAAAAATAACAATTTATCAAGCCTTGCACCAGTAAGACGATTGCGCGCTTCGCTTATTGTTGCGCCAGCTTTAGAAAACAGGCGCTCTGAAGGCACTGATGTGCCTGGCACAATAAGGTATTTTCGTGACAATGCATAGAGCTTCGGGAATACTGACTTCATGTCTTCCCACTGCTGAAAAATGTCAGACTTTAAAGGGGAGGGGAAAAAAGAACTTGCGAAAGTATCAAGTACTTTTGAAAGTATCGATACCTACTAAGTATCGAAAGAAAATGTATCGAGTACTCAAATACTTGGTATCGAAACGAAAGTATCGATACTACTCAGTTATCGATACTTTTTGCGGATCACTATCCACAACAGCTTCCGGTAGTGTTAGTACAGTGCAGTAGAGCAATGATTTCGATATTATGAATGTTGGTTATATCAGTTACATCTGTTTGGTTTTTGCATAATCCAATTAGAAAAAATAGTGCATATAGAAGTTATTGGGGGGTACCGACATAACTATATACGAACAAGATCGATAATGAGTAATTTTTTCAAGAGAATTTCTTAAATAAATAAAAACAAGAAATATGAAGATATATTTTTTTAATTATTTCACAAAACTCGCACCATACTGCTGATCTTGGTGTGCTATACCGTGTTTTGCTCCGCACACCCACGTGATGCGTGATCTGAAACACTGCACGTGAATGCCTTTTGAGTGTTTTGCATCTACTATGCATCTTTCAATACAAAGAGAGGTACTTGCAAGCTACGTTCGTAAAAACCAACACGCACGTCCGCGCTACGCAGCGTACTGCGTGGCAGTGTGATAATCGCCTTAACCGTTCAGTCATCCGGCTGGATGACGCAATACGTATTGCTTATGATGAGAACGTAGTGGGAACTTCCCCCTTAATTTTATTACAGTGTTGCCATTATTTCTAACAATATTTGTTACCAACAAAGAGGGTAAAATAAGATATGAGAAAGGGAAATAACTTAATTTATATAGTTTTCCAATACTTATCGGTTATGATCACAGAACACAGAAAGAGGTCATTATTTATAATTATAATGGGTATAGGAAACAGTATCATATTCCTTCTTCGGCACATTTAGCCTATGGAGAAGTATGGGATTTTGCATAATAAAAGTAAACATGGATGACTGCAGAAAACTGATCCTACTAATATTATAAATGTGAAAGTTTGTGTGTTTGTATTATGTTTGCTTCTTACTCAATCACTCAAAAACTACAAAACAGATTATGACGAAATTTTGCAGACCTAGTTTGTGATCTGCATTGAGAAAAACGGACTAAGGATAAGTTCCTGTGAGACTCTCAAAAGAACTAAAGTAAGCGCGGACGAAGTTGCGGGCGGCTCTAGTATTTTTATATAGGTACTAATGCATTAGAAAATTATTCATTAAACTAACTTTCCATGCTTTTAGAAATCATCTTGCTGGAAAAGTTGGAGTATCTAGGAATACGAGGAAAAGCACAAAAGTGGTTTTCTTCTTGTTTAGAATATAGAAAGCAATACGTTCAAATAACACACGCAGATGAAAAAACTCAAGAAATAAAGCAAGTCACTCGTCCTACTGGCAATATATCTGGATCTATACCTCAGGGTAGCGTGCTCAGTTCCTGGTGCCACATAAAGTAGTTTTAAACGCAGATATAATAATAATAATATTTCCAACACTCACACCAATTAGCCTAGCCCCAAAGTTAGTACTGTAAGGCTTGTTTTATGGGGTACTAGGGTAACGGAAAGAATACATATACTGTACATATATAAGTATATTTATACAGAAATACATATTAATCATCCATGACTGGAGTACAACTGCTCTTATTCATCACACAAACATCTGCCCCCACCAGGATTTGAACCCGTGACCTTTCGAGTCGGCAACACCATGAGACCCGGCGTACAAACCACTCGACCACGGAGGTCGTCTAATGATAATAGATGACGCGACCATTTTGGTTACTTGTGATCAAACAAGTGTAAACAGTTTGGAAAGCGTTATAAATGACTGCTTAGATAAAGTAGTCTTAAAGGGAAGCCTAGAAGCACATCTAAAGAGGATAGGCTTAATATTGAACTTCGGAAAAACTAAACTAATGCAGTTTAAGCCGTACCAGAGATATGAGTTATCTGTTTTAAGTGTTTAAAAAGCATAGACTAAAAACTATTTTTACAAATTAAATTACTACAGCCATCTTCTAATGTGATGAAGTGAAATCGATGTATTTAGGTTTGTCATACCAAAAATTATAAGAAATAAACATTTGTGTAGTGCAATTTGACATGAGTCAACAAGCCTATTAAAGTATGCAACCATTAATCTGCCTAATTCCTTAAAGACCCTCCAGGGGGCCAATCGCCTAACGGAAATGCTTTGGGAAACGCTAACGCTTACGATTTTATATTGTTATTTCTAGCCGCCTGAGGTTTTCGAATACCTCACGCTCATTTTTTTTAATATTGTTATTACCAATGCAAAAGAAAAAGAAAGAGCGCGAGGCATTTGAATACCTCAGGCGGCTAGAAATAACAAAATAAAATCGTAAGCGTTAGCGTTTTCCAAAGCATTTCCGTTAGGCGATTGGCCCCCAGGCTAATATGTTTCAGCCTGCACTAAAGATTTTTTTACTATGTAAGACATTATATACAGTTAATAAATATTTTAGTGAAAAGTTTTGAATTTTGAGATTTGCATTATTTTTTGGACATTTGATTTAGATTTTACAATATGTTATGCAAGTATGCAAGATTGAAAATTTGTTATATTGGAATGTTTTATAATTATGGCTGTAGATCTACGTATTTAGTTTGTAAGCATTATTGCAATACCCTAACTGGGTTATAGTTTGGAACGATATATATTTTTTGTAACAGCATGTAAACAACAAGAATGCAATAAATGAATATGAATATAAAAAAAGGCAGGCATAGTATTACAATCAACGGAACTCTAATTTTGACAGTCTTGTATTTGTGTATGAAACTGTTTTCCATGCATCTTTGTCTATTTTATGGAGTGTACCTACCTATGAGTGAAAGAGTATTGTATTAGTCCGCAGTTGAAGTAAATTTGCCAATGGGACCAATTTAGGCACGACTTTATATTCTCTGAACTTAAATTTAAAATTGTCAATAATGCATCCTTGTCTTCTAAGGGTACGGCCATAGTGCACGCAGATTCAGACTCAGAAAACAAGCGCGAGAAATAAACAGTGTAGTTTAAGCAGGTTACCTGCTGCCACTATGGCCACCCTGCTGCACCCTAATACAATGAAAACAAGAGTCTGTTGTCAAATTTAGATTTGAGTTGAAAGAATCATGCCAAAATCAGGCCCAATGCTATGTATCGGTGTCTGAGGACTTTTATGCTTATCGCACACTTGCGTGACGAAGCTTCGGTATTAAAATGAGCAAAAATTAGCGTTCGAACTAATTTTAGCGCATTAATGTATTAAGGCTAGCGCATACCACAGCCAGTCGCGACAGGCCACACGCAGCGCACTGCATTGCAAATTGCGCAAAATATAACTGAATCAGTCATCTGTTGGCAGTCCAAAGACAAAAAAAAATGTTAGCGATTGTAGCGCTCATATTTTATTCTTGTTAAAAAGTAAACTAAATATTGAACATAAGACATAAATGTTCCCATGACAAACTATTTATGTAAATTGAACGAATTAAACAAAAAACTTTTAAATTGGGTAATTTAATTACACAATAGCAACCTCATTAGATAACCGCAGAACAAAATATTGCCTGCCTTAGTTCTGTCAGTTGACAATCGGGTCGAGTCTACTTTGCATTCAACAATCCTCCTGCAGTGGATAATTTTTTATTCGACTTACATTGTTTTGTTTAATTGAGTTTTCAGGATAGATAAAAGTGAATCTCATAAACGTGGTCGTCGGCACTAGTGCTCAAGCTAATAGTGTGGTGATAATGCGACATTACTTTGGTATGTAGCCGTATTGCACTTAGTACCTACCCTTATTGGCGTGTCGGCTGCGCTATGTTTTGAACAGAACAATAGAACATTGTTCGAAAACATAAATAATGGGTGTGGCTAGGGTTGCCAACCCTACTGTTTAATATAGTATCCTATTATATATAGGGATCAAGTACTATACTTAAAAAAATGTAGGCGAAACTACTATAATTTGCATAAAGAAGATTTTTGCCGGTAAAGGCTTTCTTAAAAAATAAGAATAAAAAAATATTAAGGCATATAGAAGCAAAAATATATTTATTTCCAAAATAAAATAAATATTTTAACCACATACATTTTTTGCCAGGTACTATAGTTAAGACATGTTTCGACTTGCTTTTTTGCAGGGACGATTTTCGTCCCTTTTGTCATCAAAGCGTCCCTTCGATGTCCTTTTACATATTCCGTCCCTTTTTCCGTCCGTTTTCAATAACACTCCACTGCAACATTAGACGAATGCATTTCGTTTCAATCATTGATTTAATTCACTAAATTGCAATCACAATACGTTGTACATTGTCAACTTTGTTCGTCAAATCACCAAGTAAACTACATCGAATCCAACGCTCGCTATGCCTACGTTTAATATATACCTACTCAATGCTCAAACCCACCTACCATTATCTTACCTAATAAAAACTTTTGTTTTTGTGGTAAGTACGTTTCAATTATGAATATAATAACTTATAAGTGCTTACTTTGTAAAGTCTGTGATACGTTCGTACCACCATGCTGTACCTACACCATAGTGGATAGTCCTCCGCACCATCTTCTTTATTTTATTGTGTGCCCAAAAAAATATAACTAATATGGCCGTTTGATGATAATAAAAAGGTGTATTTTTTTTTTTGACTAAACGTAACAATACTGTAGCATTGACTGTGGGTCCCACACTAGGAGAAACCTGTATCATGGGCACCCTAATATAATAAATAGGAGGGCGTCACATTAATAATTTATATGTAATTATTATTTGTAACAAAACAAACGTAATGAAATCAATTATAAATACTAAATTAAAATCAATATTGTATGTATGTGTATGTCTGTCTATGTGTGTTTGCGTGCGTGTGTGTGTATGTGGAGAAGAATAGATATAGTTTGGGATAGGAATGTATCGATGAGATGTTGGTCTTATTTTGTGTGCTTAATAAGGTCCTCTGTTTGAAGGTAGGTCATGCACTTCAGCCTTTTAGTGAGCACGCGTTTGGCTTGTTTCAATGTAGCTGTTTTTATGTCACACAGTTTTGCCATTTTATTATACACATACGGGAGCATGTGACTAGGAAAGCGTTGTGCAAAAGCGGAACGCACTCTGACAACGGGGACCCTAAATACTCTTTTGCATAAGAGGGATTTATAATTGGGTGAGCTTAATACTTGACGATGCATTTTTAAGGAGGCTATCAGTATATAAAGTTGGCGTACATTTAAGATTTGCGATTCTGAATAAAGACAGTCGGTGGGGTATAAAAATGGTTTCTTTAGCATCGCCTTTAAGACAGCTCGTTGTGCTCTCTCCAAAACTAACATGGCAGTGATCCCGGTTCCACCCCAGACAGGAATACAGTAACTAAGTAGTGACTCCCCGAGACTCTTATAAACGAGATTGAGAATCTCCTCGTCAGCGCAGCTCCTAAGAGTTTTCATAACGTAGATCAGCTTTCTGATACGTAAAGCAGTGGTGGTGTTATTTATGTGCATCTTAAAAGATAGGTTTTCGTCTAAAGTGATACCCAGATACTTGGCATTTGTAACTCGCTCTAAGCTCTGGTGGTGCAGTATTCAGAGAAGCAATCTGAGTCAGTGGCGGCGCTAGGCGTCGGCGACGTCGGCCACCGACGACGGCCTCGCGCCTGAGGGGGCCTCGCAAAAAATTTTTACAAGTTACCTTTTTATTTTCGTTTCTCCTGGCCTGGCTTAGGTAGCCGACCCCGAACAATTCGGGGAAAAAGCTAAGCAGATGATAATGACTTATTATTTTCGAACACGTGCGTGATGGAAGCGAGTAGTACTTTACGGGTACTCAGTATCGTCTGTCTGGCAACACATTTTTTGTCATCATTTGATTATCAACAATAAAACTCGTTTACTCATACGTTATTTTATAATATGGCTCACTTAATTTAACGGTTTTTACTGCGAAGTAAAATAGGCCTCGCGAACTTGATGTCGCCGACGTACACATGTGGTCTAGCGCCGCCACTGATCTGAGTGAATACGTAAGGAACGGGCGAGGGGAGGTTCTGATGCTTTGGTTTTATGGAAACATAAATACTTTGTCTTGGAGGCATTCAAAGAAAGAAGATTGCCGTCGAGCCACTTTTTAAGAATAACCATTCCCCTTTCAGCCTTATTAAACACAACCTCCCAGCATCTGTCATGAAAAATGGCAATAGTATCATCTGCATAGCAATATATTTCGACATCCCGTGGTGTTGCTTTATGAATATCGTTCATAAAGATAATGAACAAAGTTGGTCCCAAAACACTGCCCTGTGGAACACCGAAGCGTACAGGCAGCTCGTCACTGCTGCTCGTTTGAGGTATATATGTTTTAAATTATCGAAATTATCACCATGAAAACATAAGCCACAAACCCTTTTTTTCTTTGTTTTTATTTCGAGGTCGAGAACAAAAAAATTATTAAAAAAAAAACACGTAAACCCGCCGACGAAACATCAAAATAGAGTAACTTAATGTATTTAACTTGCCCAGGGATGGTGTTTTTTTTTAAAAACCACTGAAAAACACTTTAAATAGTCTGAATACACAGCATGTTTTTTTTCATACAAAAAACGGCGAACGACGAACTTCCACAGACAACAGTATAAATATTTCATATGACAGTTGACTTAATCAATGGCTAGATAGCTAGTCTGTTCTTTCCTCTACAAATTGATATTATTGATTGATATGATTGATAGATAAGAATGTAGGTGATAGCAAAAAGAATGAATCTTATATTTTCCATAGTATAAGTGGGGTCGCGCGGAACCGAATGTCGGTCCCTCAGCACTATACCGATTTTAGACAGAGACCTAAATTCGGTCGCGGATATCCGCGGATACGAATACGGATACGGATATCCGGCACATCACTAATTCTAATATTCCTTGCATTTAAAAATAAGCATACTTCTATTTTAGGTCTTTACCAGAAAAGCCTTGTATATTTTGGTGAACAATATTTAGGTATTTAGACTTTTCCTTGGTCATTTTAAAGGGGGATATCGGCGTATCGCGATTTCTCGGTAAAACTACAACTTGTATCGATGAAATTTCTTATATCTAAAGAAAAATTTACAAGAGAAAAAATTCCATGGCAGCAGACGGGACTCAAGCCCACACTCGCTATACGGGCGAACGCACTACCATTATGTTACCGCGGCCCTGATGCCCGTGTCGAATTTTCTCAAGTATTTCTTAAACTGCAAGGACGCGCCACCTCTTCGCATTGTATGAAACTCACAATGTCAAATGAATACCAATCAATCACTCAAAATTATTTATTCAGTTTAGGCTGTTACAAGCACTCATGAATGTAAATCTACGGCGGGAGACGTTTTTCTGAGAAGAACCGGCAAGAAACTCAGCAAGGGCTGTTTGTTTCTCCCTGTTTTATTTTTTACAGAGTTGTCAAGTTGAAAAACGACTTCAGAAAAGATTCCTGAAGTCACCTTTCATTACTATAAGTGAAACACGAGTTAGTTGAGCACTGATTTTAATTTGTTTTATAAATTTATATATGACAATTCAATATCTATGATTATGTACAAAGTATGGATAAAAAACAGAAAACTATAAAAACATGGTATAATAAAAACGGGTGATAAATACAAGTTGGTCGTAACATGGCCCCCGGCGGTGTAGGCACCTAGTTACTTAGGATACGACCAACGGTGCAAGTTATCTCACAGGGCGACGCGGGGGTGTCCTCCCCTTTAGTTAGCACGTCGACAACCCTAACTATATTGTCCTTGCCTGGGTATGTGGCCACAATACGGCCACGTGGCCAGCAACGCCTGGGCAGAGTCCCGTCCACAATCATCACTAAGTCCCCAATCTTCAAGTTCCGCCGAAGGTGTAGGGCGACGTGGTACGAGTGTCGGTAGGTACTCCTTTGTAAAGCGCTGGCAGAAATGGTCGGCCAGACGCTGTGCCTTCCTCCACTGCACTCGGCTGGATAGACCGAAGTCGTCGAATGTGCGGGTTTGCAGGTCGTTTAAAGGGGTCCCAATTAAAAATGTGAATGGCGTGAGAGCAATCTCTGCGTCAGCGTCTGCGGACACGTGTGTTAGTGGCCTTGAGTTCACAACATGGGAATATTCATTGCTATGCAGACGATATTACAGTGCATGCGGGGTATCTCGGACAAGCAGCGGCTGGGCAGGCGGTAACCAAGGAGAAACGCGAGAATCTTGTCATTGAACTCAAATCAGGCTTTGGACCACATTTCCGAATGGGGTACCAGGAACTTGGTTGAGTTCAATGCCAAGAAAGCTCAGGCTTGCGCTTTCACGGCAAAAACATCTTCATTCCTTCCCCTTCCATCTCTTCAGGGCACAACAGTACCGCTGCAGAGCAACATTTCCATGCTCGGTATGGAAGTTCGCTCAGACCTGAATCCAAAGAACTACATCGAAACCGTGATCAAAACAGCTTCACGCAAACTCGAGTCCTGAACGTTTTTTCACGCCCGATCAACTGTGCTTGTTGTACAAAACGCAAGTGCGGTCCTGCGTGGAATATTGCTCGCACCTCTGGGATGGCTCCGCCAAGTACTTGCTCGATGCTTTGGATAGGTTACAGCGACGCGCGATCCGCATCATAGGCGATGAGGAGGTGACTAAACACCTTGAGTCTCTTCAATTACGCCGTGACGTGGCGTCACTAAGCGCGTTCTATCGTCTGTACCACGGCGAGTGTTCTGAGGAGTTATTCTCTCTTATCCCACCTTCCCCTTTCCTT